GGGACAATATTCATTGACCATAGATGTGGTTTTTCATTCTGGAATCGCTTTCTAATTAAAATTTAATATGACTGATATGATTAAGGTTTAACCACAGCGCCATGCACACTAAATTATCAGAGTTCGAACGAGGATGAAAAACCTGATTAGTCATGATCAGTGTATTTATTAACTCATACTCTACCAAAATTATGTTTAAAGTTAACTCCGATAGTTCAATTTCCCAAAAAAATATTGAGGCTATTAAGCGTAGATAAGACAGATATGGGTTAGTGCTATAAGGTGGGATACGGTAGCTTTATTGAGTAAAGTCCGTCTTAACAACTCTATCCGAATTCATAAGTAGATCAGCCGGGCCTTTTAGCAACTCTAGTGAAAACGTAGCCATTTGTCGATAATCAGCGGTAAATGGTAACTATAGCAGAAAAAGTATCAAGCGAAAAAATTCATTGCGGTAATCGAGAGCTTAGATTGTGGAATAATTGATAAAAGATGGGACCAAAATGATATCATTATAATCTCCCGATGAAATAATGTTAATGAACAATGACCAACTTGATGCCCGATGTGTTCACTTTCGCCAGGATGCAGATCGCGGTGTTGGGCCTTGACATCCGAATTGTTCCCTAAGCTTCTGGCAAGAAGACTTAGTGGCTCCGGGACGAAGCTGGAGTTCCACTCACGTACAATCACAGCAAACGCGGAATAGTCCAGGAGCGGGAGGCAAGCGGATACGGCTAAGTCTGTAACAGGAGACCGTGACTGAAAGTTCGCACTGGATACCTGGTCAGTCAAGATTTCAGCCGATGGTTTAAGCTGAGTAATCGAGTGCGACTTAGCCTCTATTGTCCCTGTTACACAAGAACCGCCCCCACAACCGGCTTCATCTTGGTAAGTCCGCTGTCTGGAGGTCAGGAGCTCGGTCGCCTTTGCCAGCCAAAAAATAGTGACAGCCACCTGGATGGATAAAAATATAAAGCAGCCGAACTAAGCAGACCAATGCGGATTGGCTAAAACAGCAAGAAAACAGAGCCAAGAGGCACCTTGTTTTACACCAAAGAATTAAGTCAATTAACTGGACGAGATAAGAGAAAAGACTGTATGAAAGATGAGGGAGTAGAGATGGGATGAGCAATCAAAGAAGTCACGAATTGGCCTGAGAACAAGAATAAATATTAACAGATGACAAGACTTTGCCAGTCGACGAGATAGTGTGCCATATCCTGGCGAAACAAGTTCGGTTGAACAATGAATAGTGTGGGTAAGTGACTTTCTTGATTTCACCCCTGTCCCCCTGAGGTGCATGCAAACGGGCTATCATGTGCCGTCTTAGATGCAAAGCACTTTACATGTTCAGGTCATCTGCATTGCTAATGTCGAAGTAAATCCATGCAGTTCTGATCAATCTAGTCTTTAAAAAGGCAAATAGCGTTGAGAAAGAACTTAAGACAAGTAGAATACAGGATAGAGAACAGGAAAAAATCATAGGACTAGCAGTTTAATATAATGGGACGCTAACCATAATCTGACAAGAAGCAAGACTGAAACAGTAATAATGAAAGTGATGAGCGAAATCAGAAGGAACACCCGTGGGTTCAGAAATTGTTTGAAATAATCTTAAATAACGGATTCACCCACAACCTTAAGGATGATGATAACAGCTGACGTAATATAATAAACAAGTTGAACCTCACCAAAATAAATATATCCCAGGCTCGTGATATGAACCCATTTAAAATGGCAACAACTGATTCGTGTCAATAAAAACCAGAATACTATCGAGAAGTCTTATGACTTATATAATAAAAAGGTATATGAAAAAATCTCGGAGCTGAGTGAGAAGTTATATATAAATAACATACGTTCAACAGACATCACAAAGTCGTCTGAATAAAAATCAAGTCTCGAAACCCTACTTAAAAATGAAAATATAGTAATTTACATAAGTCTTTGGAGACCGTGTAGAAGTACTATGAATGTACTTTAGTCCAGATTGTGTTGGGTAGCAATTTAAAGATTGAAAAATTTAATTAAAAATGGATGCCTTACTCCCCCAAGAGTTCGATATCCAGACTATCAAGTAATAACGAAGAACCTATGGATTATTAAATAATGTTGAATTTAATATAAACCTATTCTGAATATGAGTAATAGGAAAATCTAAAAAAAGTAAGCCGTCGCCCCAACTTTGGCAAACTTAGCCATCAGTTCCTAATCAGAGGTAAATATTTACAAAGTTTGTTGTTCTATTAAGTTTTAGGCTTAAGAAGAGCTGACGATAGATCGATGACATTCTAAGTTTCAAAAAAATAATATTCAAACACTGAAATTATTTTGGAATTTAAGATCGAAGATATATCAACATCATCGAAATACTAGCAATGTAGATTTCGATCCTATGCTTAGGCCAGCTTTTCTTGATATATACGTATCTATGTTTAGTAATCAACGTAAAGTTGAAATTCAATCATGAGAATGAACATCTTTGTATACTCAGATGAGTAGAGAATGCACGCTGCCTATCAAGCAAAATTGGAAAAGACAAACGCTTCTAAGGCAGATTATCGAAGGATGAATTGGCTTCGAATTTATGCGAAAACTCAATAATCAGTCTAAATAAAATTTTATTATCCTATTCATGAATCCCGCTGGTATTACTATCCTTGCATAATTATAGACGTGTTAAGAAGCTAAGGTACAAAGAATAAAGTAATTTAAAAATTCAAATAAAGCAATATTTTTTATGAGAAATACGAAAATACGCATTACACATCTCTGAGTAAACCACATAATATGAACCTAATAAATTTATTAAGTGCCTAATAATGAATTTCTTCTTAAAGACCCAAGTGGGAAAGTGCTTCTAAGACTTATTTAGAAAGCCCGAGAAAATTTTTTAATTCGGAATGGGATCTGGTTTATTCAGTAACAAAAATATGATTCAAAGCCTGTAAGATCTGGAAAATAAGCTTTGGTAAACTTGTGTTGGTTTTACCTCGATTTTGTAACTTGATCGGGGCAACAAAGAGACTTTTTGAAACGAACATCATCCTGCGTCTTATGCTATAGTATTCATGATGATTTCCAGCATAGACCGTTGACTTGGCCCATTCCCAAACATTTCGCCGGCATCGTACGAGGTGCCATCCTTAACATAAAACGAAAGTTTATGACATCACTTTGATAAGTCATAACTGTGCTAAGGATCACGCCTCTTACTGAAGATGCCGGCTAAACGTCCGGGAATTCATTAAGTCCACGGCCCGATACTGGAAATCGCTATGAATACTATGGCAGAGAACACGCGACTAGATATGCTCCACAAGGTATCTCTGCCGCTTCGACCAAGTTGCGAAAACGAGGCTAAACCAACACTAAACAGATAAAGAAGAAGCAACGATACAAAGGACAATACCATCTCAGCCTTCATAGTCAATATGTGATAAATATACCATCCACGAGTCATGTATAAAAGCATTTCCCGTCCTAATTGTGAAATTACGTGATCATATTCATAAAGCGTTCAAGACGATAACATTAACGCTACTCAAAACATAAAAGTTTGTAGGCCTCTATAAATGGTACTCAAGTGAATCAGTTTATGCTGAATTTTTACGAGGGTGAGAAATACTTTTTAGAAGAAAAATGCTACTGAAGAAGACACACTGGCATTGCTAATCAGAATAATCAAGAAATCTAAACTATTCCAAAAAATTAAATCATGAATTCAGAATAAATTAGCTTATTCGAACACTTTTTAGAATTGTTGCGTTTATTCAAGGCATATTTGATTCATGCCGAAAAATAATTTTGATCGCTTTAATAATGCAAAATGAATGAGTTCACTCAATATTTTCAACAAGCTAATTTAATACATTTATGTACAACCTTTATGGTTAAGATGTGAGCTGCTGTGTACTTCACACTTATCAGCTAGATAAAAGAAAATGATATCTTCCTTACTTCCACTATTTCAATATTGTTAGTTAGTGAACCAGTAAATCGAAAACAAAAGTCAATTAGTCAGAAAATGCAATTTAAACTGCTGGCTTGAGGGATCCCTATAGCTGAATATCTCATTTGTATTTAAAATATAATATTCCTGTAAAATTTATGCTGCATAATACTTGATCTCTCTTGTATCACAAACATTTTTACGACCTAATCATATAAAGGTATGGAATAAAAGAGGGATTGAGTTAGCATCAAATTTTAGTAGATAATTAACATAATAAAATTAATGCAAGTTATCCAGTGAATTCAACAAAATAAATTCTCCATCAAGACAAGTAAACATACACCACCTCATGTAGGCAAAAATAACCTGACGAAATAGCAATTTTAAAACTTCAAAAAAACTGGACTCTGAAGGATTCTTAAATCGGGTGGATTTTGATGGAAGAAAGCTAAAATAATGTTAAGAGAAACATAATAAATAATGCATATTTTGAGAAAATTAAGAGGCATTGTATCTGTAA